TATAGAGCTTTTCTTTGCCCCATATAGCTTTTCTTTTCTTAGACCTTTTTCCCCCGTAGAGCTTTTCTTTCCCCCGTTCAGCTTTTCTTTCCCCCATATAGCTTTTCTTTTCTTATAGAGCTTTTCTTTCTCCATAGAGCTTTTCTTTCCCCATAGAGGTTTCTGTCCCCCACAGCTTTTTTTTCCCCATAAAGCTTTTCTTTTCTTATAGGGTTTTTCTTTCCCCATAGAGCTTTTCTTTCCCTCATAGGGCTTTTCTTTTCTTATAGCCCTTTTTCCCCCAATAGAGCTTTTCTTTCCCCGTAGATCTTTTCTTTTCCACCATAGAGCTTTTCTTTCCTGTAGATCTTTTCTTTCCCGTAGATCTTTTCTTTCCCCGTAGAGCTTTTCTTACGCCGCAGAGATTTTCTCTTCCGCCATAGGGCTCAGCTTTCTCTCATAGAGCTCTATCAACAAAATAAGGTTTACTGCTCCAATACACATTCTGCCCCTTACCACATACCGTAACAATCACTTCTTGATTCCTTGTATTAAGGTTATCCGTTGTTATCATCATCAAAGAATTGGTGTTCATTTTCTCTTCCAAGCCCTAGCCCTAATGATGCCTTGATAGTATGTGTGGTATCTAGATGAGGATGTATTTTATCATACTACTCCTACTTGAGTCCCACCCTTGCAGCTTGAGATCCTCACACAAAGCAGAGTACCTGAGAATACATTCACAGCTATAACTTGCATGACAGCAGAACGATAGTGTTTACATACAAACATGGTCATAATTACAGATGTCATATACAAAACTACAGCTGGAAGAACTAAAGGGAGACAACTGATCTGCTCAAATTAGGCATTACAGCAGTCAGTCAAACATTATTATATGACGAGACAAGAAAAAGTATATTTCATAGGCCAAACATGATCTACACAAAAAACTCTAAAGCGCACAGCAAATAATATTCCTTGAATATATATGGAATGAACTCACCTGAGTACACCTGATGAATGTTGTGTAAAATCACTTAAGTTTTGTATGTCATTCAGCTTGAAAAATAAAAGTTACCAATTAAGTCAATGAACACCAATAGCTTTAAAAGAAAAGAATATACATGTTTTTTTTGAGTTGAGCAAAAATTCCCTCAACTACATGTAAGCAAAGTATCAAAATATTGATTGAGAGATGGAGGAGTTACCTCCCTTATCTGTTTCAAGGATGCGCAAACTTTAAAGAACGACATATTTGACAACTCTGTATCTCACCAAGCCTAATGGAGACTATGTTCAAGCCAACTGATGTCCTACTAAACCCACTTTTTTGGTCAAAACTTAATTAAATATCAGTGTTTGAAATTAATGTGGGGTAGGGGTTTACTGGGGATCCTTGAGTGAGTGAGTGAGTATGGTTTTACAATGCTTTTAGCAATATTCCAGCAATATCACGGCAGGGGACACCAGAAATGGACTTCACACATTGTACCCATGTCGGGAATCGAACCTGTGTCTTCAGCGTGACGAGCGAACGCTTTAACCACTAGGCTACCCGACCGCCCCTGGGAAGTTTACTGCTGTAGGATTGGAAATATGGGAACCCATCAATCTAAAATAGTCAACAATGAGGAGCTCTTGAATTTCACACACTGTATTTCATGTACAGCAACAATCCAGTCAGTTACTGATCTGCCCACTTGTTAACTTACAATTATGGGGGCAATGGGGTAGCCTAGTGGTTAAAGCATTCGCTCATCATGCGGAAAACCTTGGTTCGATTCCCCACATGGGTGCAATGTGTGAAACCCATTTCTGGCGTCCCCTGCCGTGGTATTGTTGGAATATTGCTAAAAGCACCGTAAAATCATACTCACTCACTTACAGTCATGTCCCTGGGTGACTTCAACACTAAGCACTGAACATCACCTGGATACTACCTCCCTTACTACACTTCAACACTAAGCACTGAACATCACCTGGATACTACCTCCCTTACTACACTTCAACACTAAGCACTGAACATCACCTGGATACTACCTCCCTTACTACACTTCAACACTTAGCACTGAACATCACCTGGATACTACCTCCCTTACTACACTTCAACACTAAGCACTGAACATCACCTGGATACTACCTCCCTTACTACACTTCAACACTAAGCACTGAACATCACCTGGATACTACCTCCCTAACTACACTTCAACACTAAGCACTGAACATCACCTGGATACTACCTCCCTAACTACACTTCAACACTAAGCACTGAACATCACCTGGATACTACCTCCCTAACTACACTTGATTGTCATTTTGGTTACAAAAGTTATGAATAGGATCCTGTGAACTCCTCAATTTGACTTGTAGATATCTTTGTCTACAAACAGTAGTACAGTAGAAATGACACCAGTTTTACTAGATATTTTGCACTGGCTTTGAAAACAATGCATATGATCCTTGTTGTGAAAGAAACAGTTCCAGAGTAATATTAGCAACAGCAGACACATGTATAAAGCACATTAAATAGTTTTAATACATTATTTCACATCACAACAATCAATAGATTCACATCACCCAAATTATGACAGAACACACTGCATTCAGCCCCAAGTCTGCAGCAAATATTAGTAAAATTCCCCCAATTGGACTTGCACTGTGCTACATGGATTACATGGCCATTATAGTTGGTTGGGTTGTTGTTTTACGCCACACTCAGCAATATTCCAGCTGTATGACGGCGGTCTGTAAATAATCAAGTCTGGACCAGACAATCCAGTGATTGAAATCATGAGGATCGATAAACGCAATTGGGATCAATGACATGCTTCAAACAAGTCAGAGAGCCTGACCATCCTATCCCATTAGTCGCCTCTTATGACATGCATAGTTTCCTTTTTTACTGCAAGCATGGGTTGCTGAAGACCTATTCTACCCCGGATCTTCACAGGTCCATTAAACATGATAAAGATGCTTAGTTGTAGATTACTGCATTGAATGCAATGCTGAGAATACATTGGTATAATTTAACAACAAAAAAAGTACTAGAATCCCAAAAGCAAAATAATGATTTTTTCCCCCAAATTCTGGAGTCCTAGATAAATCCCTGCCCTGGTCACACTGGAATGAATCATTTTTGAGCTCAGTTGGGTTAAGTAAGGGGCCAATCATTTACTAGTCACCAATGAAGATGTGACAACCCTTCACAGATGGGCCGTCTATTCACATACAGAGAGGTATTGTATTGGAGCAAACAATCGAGTTTAACAAGATTGACTGTGGAGCCCCACTAAGTACTGTCTATCCAAAGTACTTCCCAGTACACGTGAATTAAAATGAAACAAAGAATTACAGTAAACTGCTTTGTTCCTTGGTTATGTCAGCAGGGTAGATTAAAACTCCTACTGAGATACAAAACAAGACAACAGATCACATCAACATACACCTACTTGCCACAGAGTTTGTTTTGGTTGTCTGTTGTTTAATGTCACACTCAACAATATTCCAGCTATATGACGACTGCCTTTAAATAATCGAGTCTGGACAAGACCATCCAATGATTGTTATTGTGAACATCGATCCACGCGGTTAAGCTACGATAACGCGCAATCAACCAAGACACCGAGTCTGACCACCCCGTCCATTTTGTCGCCTCTTACAAGTGTAGTTTGCTGGGGACCTAATCTCACCCAGGAACCCCCCTGGGGACTGGCCATTGAAACATTCACTCACACAAAAGATTTCTTCACAATAGTGAACAGTAAATACTAGGGCTGCAACGAATACACTATGAGGCGTATACGATTCGTATCATGAATATAGGGTAACGAATACGAATATTAATTCATGAATACAATAACAAGTCAGCAGTTGATGCATTATTTGTTATATTCAGTGAAACAATAACAATATCATCTATTTGACATGGTTTGTTAACTATTAATATATTAAACATTTATATACTTCACTTATCCAGGTACTAGTATCTGTTCAAACGCGACAATGACCAGTGACCACAATACTGTCAAACTAAACATTATAAGAGTGTTGTCTTTGAAGAAATCTATGCTTATAATGTTCTTATTGATATTTTTAGGTACAGGGTATGTAAATGCACATGACTGCATATTCATAAATATTCAATTCTAGTGGCCACGAATAACGAATTCAATTCATGAATGGATATGGTTCGATTCACCAAATACGCGAGTGAATCGTAACAGCCCTAGTAAATACTTCCCCATTGGGTATCCCAAAATACATCATCATTAACGTCCAAAACATATATTTTTTTTTAGATTTTATTTCTTTGTTGTTTAACGCCGCACTCAGCAATATTCCAGCCATATGACGGCAGTGTGTAATGATCTGTGACTGAAATCACGAACATTGATCCACGCAATTGGGATATGATGACATGCATCAACCAAGTCTGCAAGCCTGACCACCTGATCCTGAACTCATCTCTTACAGCATGCATATGTGCTGAAGACCCTACCCGAATCTTCATGGGGTCATATTTCATATTTATCAGAAGCAAATAAGTCTCAGAAGTTCCCACTATCCTGAATGTCAGAAGAATGTCAGTATAATCATAAGGTTTGTCAAAATTCAATGGTCATGCCATAAATTGTTATAAGAATCCCGCTATTGTTTGTCAATCTCATTAAAATCAGACCTCAGTTCTCGCTACCACTAAACAAAGGTCTGAGGACATCCCATGAGGGGTCATGTCAGAACAACCTGTCATCCGACCATTCAGAGCATCGCTTACCAGATTATGAAAGTGATTTCTAATCATGCAACCTCAAAAACTTTAACTCCGAACGATAGTTACGGGTTTAACGACTGAATCCATACAATCTAGACTATCTATTAGCCATTCCAGAATGTTCTTTTGTTCAGGTTTCAAATTTGTAATCGAGAATTTGTCAAAATGTTTTGAAGCGTAGACGCCAATTTGAAATTAGTGCCGTAAAGCACGAGAAAGCTTCAAAGTTCGCGCAAGGTCAGTCTGACGTGACCCCAAATAGGATGTCCTCAGATGTTTGTTTAGCGGTAGCGAGAACTGAGGTCTGATTTTAATGAGATTGTATTGTTTGTGTGCCTTATGTTATGTGTGTATCATGATGACTTGAGCTTGAGCTGTTTATAGGCTTTGTTCCTCTGTGGTTTAAACTTGAGCAGCTTGCTGTACTTCTTGAGGAGCTTCTCCCAGTAGCAGGACACATCCTCCATCCGCAGGTGCTCCCACACAAACTTCCGCCCTCTGAAACAAAACATCCGCTCTGTGTATTGCCAGTGTTTAAATTTCAGATAAATTCCAGTCTTGTAAATTGCAGACAGCCAGACTTAGCCAAATACATACAGATATAGGTCAATCCCTAGAACCCTGGTCTCAATAATAGTAAGTGTGTTGGGTTCAACACCGCTTTGAACAGTATTCCAGTTATATCGTGGCATGTCAGCTTAATGTGGGGGGAAAGTCCGAAGTGATGCAGGTCTCGGACGTTTACCACTTCGGTGAAACCCACGAGCACGGGTGCTGACAGATCTAGAAACATAATCGGGGTAAACCGGGATTGAAACCCACAATCAGATATTTCGGACACATCCAAGGAAGGCAATTCTGCTCAGCAAATTGAGACGCCTCAGATGACTGGGCCGCTGTCAATAACAGATAGACAAGGGTCTACCACTGGTCTCAATAACAGAGGGGTGGTCGAGTAGTCTAGTGGTTAAAGCGTTCGTTTGTCATGTCGAAGACCCGGTTCGATTCCCAACATGGGTACAATGTGTGAAGCCCATTTCTGGTGATATTGCTGGAATATTGCTAAAAGCGGCGTAAAACCAAACTCACTCATTCGCTCAAAAACAGATACACACAGGTCAACACCTGGCCCCCTAGTCTCAATAAAAGATAGTAGATAATAAACACAGGTCACAGGTTTTTCCTAAATCTTAAAGAGCTTTGCAATGAAAATGTGGTTTCACATATGAACACACAGCACACAGAAATGCTCACCTCTCAGCAATGTGTTTAACAGCATCGTCATTCTCTTTAGCAAACATAATCAGCTCTCTGGAAAATAAATATACATATACATATGAATCTGGTGCAAAATTCATTCACAGATGATACAGCATGGGGCGGTTTGTGTCTCTTCTTCGCCATTTTTGGTAGGATTGGGATGTCATAGATTTTGGGCAGATAATATTTTTTATCACCACTTCATGATATACCCGAAAAGCTGAACATTTTCATGACATCCAGCATGTCCACTGAACACTTATTCTTTTGGAGCATTTCTTAAACAAATAATTCTAAGAAAAACCACCCCAAAACAGAGATCCCCACCCCTCCTATGATATCTAATGGTCGGTCCCTAATTTTGTTCAAAGAAAAACATGTGCAATCTCACAACTGTGTTGGTCAGACTCCGACACAGTGAGTGAGTGAGTGAGTGAGTGAGTGAGTGAGTGAGTGAGTGAGTGAGTGAGTGAGTGAGTGAGTGAGTGAGTGAGTGAGTGAGTGAGTGAGTGAGTGAGTGAGTGAGTGAGTGAGTGAGTGAGTGAGTGAGTGAGTGAATTGTGTTTAATGTCGCTTTTTACAGTATTCCAGTTATATCGCGGCGTGTCAGCTTAATGTTGGAGGAAAGCTCGAAGTGATGCAGGTCTCAGACGTTAACCACTTCGGTGAAACCCATGAGCACGGGTATGGTGCTGACAAACCTTGAAACATAATCGGGGCGAACCAGGATTCGAACCCACAATCATAGGTTTCTGGCGTGCCCAAGGGACGCAACTCTGCACAGCAAATCGCGGCCCCTCAGACAACTGGGCCACCCTTGCCTCCCCACTGCCACAGGCTAATTTGAACATCAGATGACTTTTCTCCTGTTTGTATATAAAATCGCTGTATCAAAGCAGACTGGGCTAATGGAAGCCTTCCAGTACATTTTGCATATTGTTTTCATAATTATATAGGTGAGGTGAGGTGAAATGGGGTTTAACGTCGCGTCAAAGATCATTGCACTTATATAGCGACGTGCATGTATGTGTGTGTGTTTGTGTGGCTGCTCGTACTAGTCCGGACTGATGCCGATTTTTAGTGCTAGCTCACTGAGATACCATGCCGCAGTTTAACATGAATCCCCCACTCAGACAAAGTATACTGACTCCGAGCCGACCAGTCCTTGTTTTAGCCCCTTAATGCCGAGCGCCAGACAGGGTAACAACAAGTACCATCTTTTAACGTCTTTTGGTATGACGCAGTCGGGGATCGAACCCCGGATCTTCCGCTCTCCGGGCGGACGCTCTACCACAAGACCACGTAGGCGGTCTCATAATCATATAGATGTGCTACTACACCTGTGACAGTGAGGAACATGTCAATATAGCTTTACACACTGAATCGACCATATCGCTAGCTCTCTATAAGGCTTTGATGACAGCACATAGAGCTGAAGTAAACAAACGAAACTACGGAAATGGAAATAATTTTCAGGGTTTAGGATCTTTGGATTATTTTCTTACTGAAACTTAATCATTTAATGACATGTTTCTGTCAAAATGTGTAGACTTTTTAAAATGATATAGGTGAAAAACATGTGTGATTTGTTGAATGGACAGTGTAAGATGAATCATCATATCTCACTGGCCTGTGGCAGATATACAGTACTAGGTTGCCCGCAAGGAACTCTGGGTTGGAGAGTGCTGTGTTGGTATCAAACTGACACATCTTCTTCTCGTCCAATATTGATAGTAGTTCTTAACAATCATTTTGTTTGTTTGTTGTTTTTTGAGGACAGTCTGTAAATAATCGAGTCTGGATGAGACAATCCAGTGATTGACATCATGAGCATTGATCTACACGATTTGGATACAATGACATGCATCAGCCAAGTCACTGAGCCTGACCACCTGACCCTGTTAGTCGCCTCTTAAGACAAGTTGGTTGGTTGGTTGGTTTGTTGTTTAACGCTGCACTCAGCAATATTCCAGCTATATGACGGCGGTCTGTAAATAATCCAGTGATTAATATCATGAGCATCGATCCACGCAATTGGGATCGATGACATGCATCAACCAGGTCAGCGAGCCTGATCACCCGATCCCGTTAGACGCCTCTTACGACAAGCATAGTCACCTTTTACGGCAAGCTGAAGGGTTGCTGAAGGCCTATTCTACCCCGAATCTTAAGACAAGTATGGGGCGCTGAAGATCACTTCTAATCCAGATGCTTACAATCTCTCTATGAATCAATGAACATCAACAAAAGGTGACAGAACAGTTAACTGATGCAGCATGAGAGGAAGCAACTCACTTGACATTGTCTAGGTTCTGGTTGACAGGGATGTAGTGGACCCACGGCTTCATGGCGGGGTAGAAGAACTCCTGCCAGGCCTCACCCACATGGAACACCAGCGAGTCACACAAGAACAGGTGCTTGAAACGGAAACTGGCAGCTACACCCCGGAAATTGAAGAGATATCTGGATAGAAAAGTAGTATAATTAATACAGCTAGAATAGTTGGACGAATATGCAAAGAATAATCTTTGAATAATAGAATGAATAATCCTTGAATAGCAGAATGAATAATCCTTGAATAGCAGAATGAATAATCCTAGAATAGTAGAATGAATAATCCTAGAATAGTAGAATAAAAAATCATTGAAAAGCAGAATACATAATCCTAGAATAGTAGAATTAATAATCCTAGAATAGTAGAATGAGTAACCCTAGAATAGTAGAGTAGATAATCCTAGAATAGTAGTATGAATAATCATTGCAAGCAGAATACATAATCCTAGAATAGTAGAATTAATAATCCTAGAATAGTAGAATGAGTAACCCTAGAATAGTAGAATGAATAATCCTAGAACAGTAGAATGAATAATCCTAGAATAGTAGAATGAATAATCCTAGAATAGTAGAATGAATAATCCTAGAACAGTAGAATGAATAATCCTAGACTAGTAGAATGAATAATCTTAGAACAGTAGAATGAATAATCCTAGAATAGTAGAATAAATAATCCTAGAATAGTAGAATGAATAATCTTAGAACAGTAGAATGAATAATCCTAGAATAGTAGAATAAATAATCCTAGAATAGTAGAATGAATAATCCTAGAATAGTAGAATGAATAATCTTAGAACATCAGAATGAATAATCCTAGAATAGTAGATGAATAATTCTAGTATAGTAGAATGAATAATCCTAGAATAGTAGAATGAATAATTCTAGATTAGTTGAATTGATAGAAATGTAAAACAGAACTTAAATTCATCATGTCAGATAAATAAAAAAACAGAAGAAAAAAGGAAAGAAAGGTTGTGAACAGTCAAACTTTGAAAATCTTAAAGGAATTTTCTCAGAAACCACAAGGCACAGACAGCTGGACTCTTATAAGGATAAATGTATGTAGGACAAGGATTTGACGATTATGTTGACCACATATTGAAAAATACAATAAGTTACCTACTTATACTTACAGTGATCCTCCAGTGATGGGTTTAACACATATTTAACAATCCAATAAGTTACTTACTTATTTTTACAGTGAGGTTCCAGTGGTGGGTTTAACACATATTGAACAATCCAATAAGTTACTTACTTATATTTACAGTGATCCTCCAGTGATGGGTTTAACACATATTGAACAATCCAATAAGTTACTTACTTATTTTTACAGTGATCCTCCAGTGATGGGTTTAACACATATTGAACAAGTATTTGTCACAGAGTGACGAAATATCCCCCGCCTGTACACCATACTACCAAATATGAAGACAATCCAGCGATTAGTTCTTGAGATATTGTGGCAACACCGTTTTCCAACTCCAAAAACAGATTTGCCTGCTGTGACCTTGAAAATGGGGTCAAGGTCACCAAATCTGACAGGTGTATGCGGTGTCTGTATATACACTATAGTTCCAAATATGAAGACAATCCAGCGATTAGTTCTTGAGATATCGCGGCAACACCGTTTTCTAACTCCAAAAGCAGATTTGCCTGCTGTGACCTTGACAATGGGGTCAAGGTCACCAAAACCGACTGGTGTCTGCGGTGTCTGTATATACACCATAGTTCCAAATATGAAGACAATCCAGTGTTTAGTTCTTGAGATATCGCGGCAACACCGTTTTCCAACTCTAAAAGCAGATTTGCCTGCTGTGACCTTTAAAATGGGATCAAGGTCACCAAAACCGACTGGTGTCTGCGGCGTCTGTATATACACCATAGTTCCAAATATGAAGACAATCCAGTGTTTAGTTCTTGAGATATCGCGGCAACACCGTTTTCCAACTCTAAAAGCAGATTTGTCTGCTGTGACCTTGAAAATGGGATCAAGGTCACCAAAACCGACTGGTGTCTGCGGAGTCTGTATATACACCATAGTTCCAAATATGAAGACAATCCAGTGTTTAGTTCTTGAGATATCGCGGCAAACCGTTTTCCAACTCTAAAAGCAGATTTGTCTGCTGTGACCTTGAAAATGGGATCAAGGTCACGAAAACCGACTGGTGTCTGCAGAGTCTGTATATACACCATAGTTCCAAATATGAAGACAATCCAGTGTTTAGTTCTTGAGATATCGCGGCAACACCGTTTTCTAACTCCAAAAGCAGATATGCCTGCTGTGACCTTGAAAATGGGGTCAAGGTCACCAAAACCGACTGGTGTCTGCGGAGTCTGTATATACACCATAGTTCCAAATATGAAGACAATCCAGTGTTTAGTTCTTGAGATATCGCGGCAACAAACAGGTGGGACGTACGGACGGACGTACGGATGGACGTACGGACGGTCGTGAATACTATATCCCCTGCTTCGCGCTTTCGCGCGGCGGGGGATAACAATACAATAAGTTACTCACTTATATTTACAGTGATCCTCCAGTGATGGGTTTAACACATATTTAACAATACAATAAGTTACTTACTTATATTTACAGTGATCCTCCTGTGATGGATTTAACACATATTGAACAATCCAATAAGTTACTCACTTATATTTACAGTGATCCTCCTGTGATGGATTTAACACATATTGAACAATCCAATAAGTTACTTACTTATTTTTACAGTGATCCTCTAGTGATGGGTTTAACACATATTGAACAATACAATAAGTAACTTACTTATATTTACAGTGATCCTCCGGTGATGGGTTTAACACATATTTAACAATACAATAAGTTACTTCCTTATATTTACAGTGATCCTCCAGTGATGGGTTTAACACATATTGAACAATACAATAAGTAACTTACTTATATTTACAGTGATCCTCCAGTGATGGGTTTAACACATATTGAACAATACAATAAGTAACTTACTTATATTTACAGTGATCCTCCAGTGATAGGTTTAACACATATTGAACAATACAATAAGTAACTTACTTATATTTACAGTGATCCTCCAGTTTTATCTCAGCAGCAGGTGGCCGATGTAGTGTATCCTTAAAACAACCAAATACAACTTTCAAAAATAAATTACAAATGATTCCATGTTTTTTGATTTGCTAACCAAACAATCAATTTTCTTATGCTTCCATAAAACATCCCACCCCACAAAAAAGCCACACCCATAATCAGATTTCTGTTTCCTGTTTGGCTGATAACAGTGTGACCCACCTGGATATATATTGCTTACCGCATCTGATTTCCAGGCCTGGTTCTTTGTGTATTCAGCGTCGACCAGGTCTGGCTGTTTCCTGGAAAGTAGCACCAGAGGGTCCCGCTCGTTACTCGTCCTCGAACCACGGAAAAATGCAACATTGTGTTTCTTGTCCCAGGGCCACTTGTCAGCCTCTCTGGAATTAAAATGTGATTACAACGTAATGACAAATTAGCTATATCAGGCTTAAAAATATAAGAATTGCTTCTCAGGCAATGGCCTCTGAAAATTTAGTGCGGGCGGGCAGTGGTTTTTTTTGTTTTGGGGTTATTCATACTGGTATGTATTATGTAACCAAATAAACTATTGTGTAAGCAAATGAACAGTTGTGTACAATCAACCTGGGAAAGGGCCCTCCTACTTAAATGTATTCCTTGATGAGTATAATACTGGAATACAGTATTTGACTATCGTTGAGCTCGGATTTTTTATGTAATTTTTTTTTTTCTTTCCAAGAATGGAAATAAAAACGAAACGTGCTACAAACTCTATGATGATGCGGGAGGTGCCTGAGAACCGAGACTATTATTTTTTTAGTCTAATATGAAAGAATTGGGTGGTCAACAGCTTCTTTAGAGTAATATATAAAAAAATAACTTACTTGCAACTCGGAAACAACTGATTATCTGCCCCTCTTGAACTAGTGTTGAAAGTTATTCGTCAAGGCTAACTTGAAACTGACCTTTCTAGCTCCAGGCAAACTCTCTGCACATCACACCACAGAGGCAGCCACTGTCTCTCTCTAACATTCATTAGTCACTGACCTTAAAGGGAAACAACACTCAAACTATTAGTGGTCTAGCCGGCGCCATTTTAATTAGCCCACATAATCACCAGATGCCAAATAGTGTCAGCGACCCATCACACTGGGCTTCGGACCAGTGATGGGGCAACTAGAGGAACTCATTGACAGCGAAATTGTATATCCTTTCTTATGACACACAGCTTCTCATTCTTCAATCCTCCGATAGGTCGCTTCACGCAGCGCAGGGAGAATAGTGCCAAACTCAAGTCATATCAGTCGAAATTATAGTCCATAATAAGCAATTTTTGAATCTGAGAAGTAAAAGCCCATCCATATTTCAATACTTTTTAAGTTGGAGTGTTGTTTCCCTTTAACTTTACTGATTCCTACCTTGGAATTATCTCCCTTTGTTGATCCCAGCGCCCCAGTCCCGTGGGGTATATTGGCCACACAGCGGGGCCTCCTTCCCAGAACGTCCACGCTGGATACATGATGTCCCAGTTGTCTGAACGCTGAGGAATTACCAAAACATGTTAAAGGGGAGGTAACTCAGACTGAATCAGTAGTAACAGAGCCTTACAATTACTTAAGGGTGTGCAGTATTATCAGTATATCGGTAAATTGAAGTTCATTCTTTCCACGATATACATCTCAATACCATTTTCATGCTCGTTATATCGGGTAATGTCAAATCGCGAATTTTAATGTTATTTCCTTGTGTAATGCCTTCACTGCCCTGGAGCATGCATCCAGGGCCCCAAGATGGCTGCGTATTCATTGACTGAGTAAACATCATGTTGAACCAGGATCTGGTTTTGTTCCATTTATGAACTTAATGTATCAGACTGCTGCTGAATTCAAAATTAATAATCATACAATGTATGGTGATATGTATCACAATACAACCTTGTGCATCGCAGAATATTGTGATACACTTTAAACCTCCAATACCCATCCTTAATATTGCTACAATCACTTTGTACAACTTGGCCCAGGAATCTTGCCTGTATTCAGTGTTATCTATGCAATTCATCATTTCAGTGGACTCATGACCAACTCTCCTCCTTCACGTAGGTTGTGATTGCCAGTCATATAAAAAAAATTGAATGCGCAAATCAACTAGGGACTGCCTCTTATAAGTTATCCACAACATTCATTGATTGGTTTGTTGTTTAACATTGCACTCAGCAATATTCCAGCTATATGATGGCGGTCTGTAAATAATCGAGTCTGGACCAGACAATCCGGTGATTAATATCATAAGCATAGATCCATGCACTTGGGATTGATGACATGCATCAACCAAGTCAGCGAGTCTGACCACCCAATCAGCATGGGCTGCTGAAGACCTATTCTACCCCGTATCTACCACTACTACATCTTGCAGTGTTCCCGTTTACCGTTAATTACCAGTTTTTTACTGGTAAAATTAGGCTTGGCTGGTAATTAATGTGACTGCCAGTACTTGTGGACTGGCAAATAAAGAGCCTTATAAATCTATGATATTCACATAAGTGTATTTTTCTAACAGTTAGCTTGTCTGTTACCATTAGGGTTTCCTCTTGTCGATTTTTAGTGCAAGGAAATGACATTTTGCTTTGCTTCAAGGTTAAAAATATATTTGAAGTGACTTTGTCTTGAAATATTAAAAAGAAGAAGAGAAAATTGTGACTGAACTTCGAGTGATGAGTAGATCTAACTAAGTTACTTCAGAGATGACGTCATTGCTTTGAATGTGATGTTGAAAGAATTATAACCAGGTAATTTTCATATGTTTTTTTCTTGTTGAAAGTTGGGACAGACAAAAATTAGGGGGGACTGGTAATTTTTAGAGTTACCAGTCCACCTGGACTGGCAGTTTCGAGAGCCAGCGGGAACACTGATTATAGTGGGAAAAGGTTAATTTCATCTGCATGTATCAGATATACTTAGATGTCATCATATATATATCAAACAAAAGCTTATAGAAACTAGACAAAAGTGTGCTTTATGAATATGTTGATGTGGAGTGAGTGAATTGTGTTTAATGCCGCTTTGAACAGTATTCTAGTTATATCATGGTGTGTCAGCTTAATGTGGGTGGAAAGCACGAAGTGATGCAGGTCTCAGACGTTTTCCAGTTTGGTGAAACCCACTGCTGACAAACCCAGGAACGTAATCTGGGTGAACCGGGATTCGAACCCACGATCTTTGTTTTCTGGTGACGACTGCTGATGTGGAATGTCTTGAAATATACGTTACACTCTCCCTACTCTTACCACTAAAGATGTTGGATACACGGTAGGGGGGACTACTTGTAATTATAATCGCTGCAATAGTTTAGACAGAAAGATTATAAGTGCTGATCTTGTATTCAGGGAGAGCTGTGCGGACTCACCACTTTGCTGAAGGAGAAGATGGGTTTGGGGGAGTGGTAAACAGGAGACTGTGGCCAATCCCGGGTGTTGACCACTAGCTCCATGTCCGGCAGCTTCTTGATCAGCCCCAGGATGAAGTATTCCACACCGCTGCATCTGTGTGACGAGGAACAGAGGAAGTACATAGAGTGAGTGAGCGAGTGAGCGAGTGAGCGAGTGAGTGAGTGAGTGAGTGAGTGAGTGAGTGAGTGAGTGAGTGAGTGAGTGAGCTGAACACGCTTTGTACAGTATTCCAGTTATATCACGACGTGTTAGCTTGATGTGGCAGGAAAGCCCAAGGTGAGGTGAGGTGAAATTGGGTTTAATGTCGCCTCCAAGATTATTGCACTTATACATTTGTTTTGCAATGTGCACGTGTGTGTGTGGCTGCTTGTACTAGTCCGGACTGATAGCAATTTATAGTGCTAGCTCACTGAGATACCATGCCACAGTTTAACATGAATACCCCACTCAGACACAGTATACTGACTCCGAGCTGACCAGTCCTTGCTTTAGCCCCTTAGTGCCAGACTTTTGTCTTTTGGTATGACTCAGCTGGGGATGGAACGCCAGACCTGCCGCTCTCTGGGCGGACGCTCTACCACTAGACCATGGAGGCGGCCTCCAAAGTTATGCAGGTCTCAGACGTCTAAATCTTTGGTGAAACCGACAAGCATGTGTATAGTGTTGACAAACCTAAAAACATATTTGGGATGAACTGGCATTTGATCACGATCATAGGATACTAGCGTGCCCAAGGGACGCAATTCTGCACAGTGAATTGTGGATCTTAATCAACTGGGCCATCCTTGCCCCTGGTAACACATATAACGCGTTTAACACATATAACACAAGTCAAAGACAAAGTGACAGGGGTCAGACGTTGAAGTAACACAGGTCAGAACTACAACAGCCTGTGTCCTTCATCAGGGGGACAACAATAGTGACTCTCTGGAACTACAACATCTGTTCTGACTCACCCAGACTACAACATCTGTTCTGACTCAACAAGACTACAACAGCCTGTGTCCTTCATCAGGGGGACCACAATAGTGATTCTCTGGAACTACAACATCTGACTACTGACATCTGACTCACCCAGACTACAACAGCTGAGACTCACCGGAAGGGGAACATGCACCCGTCCTCTCGGTACAGCTTGTGGTTGATAATCTGGTAGTGAACACCTCTCTCCATTGACTCCTCAAACAGCTTCCTTGAGATGCCATCTTTCCAGGGCAACAGGTCTTCATCGATTACACTGAAATTAGGACAAATGTGTATTTTTACCAGTCTGCAAAAAGAATCTGCTACAGAGTTGCCATCTGTACAATGGTAGTTGTAGTCCACAAAGAAGAGTCACCAGTCCTTCCTTTCTGAATTGTCCTAAGGCTACACTTTTTTTTATTTCTTGGTTTACAGATTTCAAACTCCTTTCAAAAGTGAGGTAAGCCAATTTTAAAAAAAAAAGAGAAGCCTCAGTTTTTACTTGAATTTTGTTCTAAAAAGTTAGGTAGGTATGAAAAAAATATTCTGGAGTAACAAAAGTAAAATAACTCTATTTTTCAAGAACATTTGATAATATCCCTGGCACTCAGCTTGTGCACAAATGGCAATATAACAATATGGGCGACGATTAAACTGGTCACCACTGCGCTTTGCGTAGATCCCAGCGAGAAATATCAGAGTGACTTCCCTTTGGTTTACACTCGAGCAGCAAATGAAATCTTTTCTTTTTTAGGGGAACTTTTTATTTATTTTTTTAAAGTAAAGATCGGCGTCAATAAAAAATAGAAGTGATTTTTATTTTTTATTTTCTTTAACATTTGGACTTTGAAAGAGCGGCTCATCAGTAAACCAAGTAATCAAAAAAATGTCTCCTAATCTCAGACTAGCATGCTTGTGCTTATTTTGAACCCTTGAATGGTTTTAAAAATTCATAGTTAATTAGTATTTGTGGAGTCTTTGGTAATGATTAATTCCATCCTTGTGTATTTGTTTGTCTGTACCAGAACCAAATAGTGACATAAATTTTACATGTTAGGCTTTAAAAAATTAAAGAATTGGCTCTCAGGCAATGACTTTTGAAAAAATAGTGAGGGAGGGTGATGGTTTTATTTTCGATTGTTCAAACTAGCATGTAACCAAATAAACAGTTGTGTACCATCAATTTTGGAAAGGGCCTGCATACATAAACAAGACTGCGAACTCCTTTTGCCATCATGACCATAATATACAAGATGCGCAGTAAAGCAGTGCTCATGTGAAGGGAAGAAATTGCGTGCTATATTGGATACACTCCCCCCTTAAAAAAAATCCCCCCTCCCCCAAATAAAAAATAAAATAAAATTTGAAGATCAATAAAAAACAACAACACAACAACACTACTGTTGAATAAAACAAGTCTTAATCCACACTTAAAAGATCTCTCTAGAAAACTATATTCTCACAATATAATTTTCTCACTCAACCCTTTGGACACAAATATAAATCTTTAAACCAAGCACAGGGGCTGCAGTAAGTTGTCATTTCCTAACCAACAACATTTGAGAATTCGCAAAACTCAAATTGACACTGTCTATTGTTAGCTGTCATTTTATTGTTAGCTGAAAGAGCTTGGCATTCTCGAACGTCCTAAGAGAATTACGATTTGAACTGTTTAAATTAGATGAAGAAGACCAAGAAGAGTTGTGTGAGTAAACTGCCACGCACTGACTCCTAGCCTCCTTCACAAACATTGGACGACCCCTTTCTTCACCCAGCAGGACAGGAGCTATCTGAGGAGTGCGATGTCACATACAGTTAGATTTTCCTCAAAACTAACCATTACCCAAATCAATGCCGAATATGTGGGTCACGGAGGCTGTATTCAACTTGGACTGTAGGTGGCAATTGATCTATGGGTCAGCATGGCTGAGTCAACATCAAACAAAGGCTGGCTAAATAGTTGGGGATCTTGATGGACCTAGGTCACCAAGTTGGGTCACTTCTAGCCGCTCACAAGGTGACTGACATGCCTACCACAGACCTTCATTACACCCTTGGACTCAAGCCTAATGCGGAACATCACTGAATCCTATCACAAGAGGGCATTTAGTTATACTTATGGATAGAAGTAAAGGATACACATGGGATAGACGTGTCTGTCATATATATATATATATGTTACACCATGGGACCAGGTTCTATCTGTACCTGTCCCTACTGTGTGACAACATCTGTACCTACCCCACCTGTGTGAGAACATTTGTACCTCCCCCACCTGTGTGACAACATCTGTACCTACCCCACCTGTGTGAGAACATTTGTACCTCCCCCACCTGTGTGAGAACATCTGTACCTACCCCACCTGTGTGAGAACATCTGTACCTACCCCACCTGTGTGACAACATCTGTACCTACCCCACCTGTGTGAGAACATCTGTACCTACCCCACCTGTGTGGGAACATCTGTACCTACCCCACCTGTGTGAGAACATCTGTACCTACCCCACCTGTGTGAGAACATTTGTACCTACCCCACCTGTGTGAGAACATCTGTACCTGCACCACCTGTGTGAGAACATCTGTATCTGTCCCACCTGTGTGAGAACATCTGTACCTACCCCACCTGTGTGACAACATCTGTGTCTACCCCACCTGTGTGAGAACATCTGTATCTGTCCCACCTGTGTGAGAACATCTGTATCTGTCCCACCTGTGTGAGAACATCTGTGTCTACCCCACCTGTGTGAGAACATCTGTATCTGTCCCACCTGTGTGAGAACATCTGTGTCTACCCCACCTGTGTGAGAACATCTGTATCTGTCCCACCTGTGTGAGAACATCTGTGTCTACCCCACCTGTGTGAGAACATCTGTATCTGTCCCACCTGTGTGAGAACATCTGTGTCTACCCCACCTGTGTGAGAACATCTGTATCTGTCCCACCTGTGTGAGAACATCTGTATTTGTCCCACCTGTGTGAGAACATCTGTACCTACCCCACCTGTGTGAGAACATCTGTATCTGTCCCACCTGTGTGAGAACATCTGTACCTACCCCACCTGTGTGAGAACATCTGTATCTGTCCCACCTGTGTGAGAACATCTGTATCTGTCCCACCTGTGTGAGAACATCTGTACCTACCCCACCTGTGTGACAACATCTGTGTCTACCCCACCTGTGTGAGAACATCTGTGTCTACCCCACCTGTGTGAGAACATCTGTACCTACCCCACCTGTGTGAGAACATTTGTACCTACCCCACCTGTGTGACAACATCTGTACCTACCCCACCTGTGTGAGAACATCTGTGTCTACCCCACCTGTGTGACAACATCTGTGTCTACCCCACCTGTGTGAGAACATCTGTATCTGTCCCACCTGTGTGAGAACATCTGTATCTGTCCCACCTGTGTGAGAACATCTGTATCTGTCCCACCTGTGTGACAACATCTGTACCTACCCCACCTGTGTGACAACATCTGTACCTACCCCACCTGTGTGAGAACATCTGTATCTGTCCCACCTGTGTGAGAACATCTGTATCTGTCCCACCTGTGTGAGAACATCTGTACCTACCCCACCTGTGTGAGAACATCTGTATCTGTCCCACCTGTGTGAGAACATCTGTATCTGTCCCACCTGTGTGAGAACATCTGTACCTACCCCACATGTGTGAGAACATTTGTACCTCCCCCACCTGTGTGAGAACATCTGTACCTACCCCATCTGTGTGAGAACATCTGTACCTACCCCACCTGTGTGAGAACATCTGTATCTGTCCCACCTGTGTGAGAACATCTGTATCTGTCCCACCTGTGTGAGAACATCTGTACCTGCCCCACCTGTGTGACCACCCCTATTAGACTACACCACCTATGGTCCAATAACCTTGATCCATATAAAAGGGACCACTCAACCTAGATCCACCCCTATAAGACTACACCACTTACGGTCCCCTATCCTTGACCCATCTCACCAAGAACACCCAACCAAGATCCACCCCTATTAGACTACCCCACTTACGGTCCCCTATCCTCGACCCATCTCACCAAGAACACCCAACCTAGATCCATCCCTATTAGATTACCCCAAGTAAGGCCCCGGACCTTGACCCATCTGAACAGGACCACCCAACCTAGATCCACCCCTATTAGATTACCCCAATTATGGCCCCGGACCATGACCCATCTGAACAGGACCACCCAACCCAGATCCACCCCTATTCGATTACCCCAACTAAGGCCCCAGACCTTGACCCATCTGAACAGGACCACCCAACCTAGATCCATCCCTATTCGATTACCCCAATTATGGCCCCAGACCTTGACCCATCTAAACAGGACCACCCAACCTAGATCCATCCCTATTCGATTACCCCAATTATGGCCCTAGACCTTGACCCATCTAAACAGGACCACCCAACCTAGATCCATCCCTATTCGATTACCCCAATTATGGCCCTAGACCTTGACCCATCTAAACAGGACCACCCAACCTAGATCCATCCCTATTCGATTACCCCAATTATGGCCCTAGACCTTGACCCATCTAAACAGGACCACCCAACCTAGATCCATCCCTATTCGATTACCCCAATTATGGCTCTAGACCTTGACCCATCTAAACAGGACCACCCAACCTAGATCCACCCCTATTCGATTACCCCAATTATGGCCCTAGACCTTGACCCATCTAAACAGGACCACCCAACCTAGATCCACCCCTATTCGATTACCCCAATTATGGCCCAAGACCTTGACCCATCTCATCCAGAACACACTCCACCACCCCATCTGGTTTTCCACTCACCTGGAATGACAGGAGCAATCATCTTGTTGACATTCTTCATAATTCCCAACAGCCTCATCAATCTTGTCCAGATATTTTTTCCACTTTGAGTTGGCTGCTTTGAAACAAAAAATATACCTTCATTACCTGATGGAACTGGAAACAAATTCTCACCTTTCCAGCCTCGTCACAATGAGCCTGTCTGACAATGCTGTGATATTTGCGTGGACCACACCTGATCAATTACCGAGTTCCTGCTGCTGTTTGCAGTCAGTGTCGACACAGGAGCCAGGTGTCACCAGGTTTAATGCTCTCCAGACATTCTTTATTGCATGGCTGTACTTGAATGTGGAAGTAATTAAAACTGGAATATTTCATCCTCCTGAGGCCAAATATAATATACCACTCAAAATAAGTTACAAAACACCTGACTCTTTCATCATGACATAACCGATTAAAAATAGCAATATAAATAGATTAACTATAGTCACATAAAAGAATTGGGGTTTTTTAACGGCTTTTGGGGTAGTATATATTTCTTATCTTTATTTATCTTGTATTACTGCAATACCAAGATCAACCCTATTTAAAAAAAAATTTTTTTTATGTTAATCTTGCTCCTGATTCTATTTTTTAGTTGGTTCCAACAAAACATAGGCTGAGCGTTTGAAAAATGTTGTTAAAGTGGATTCTAAGCCCAGAAAATCAAAATTTTTCATTACATGACATTACAAATTTGGAAAACATGGCAATCAGCGATATGAATTTTTATGCATTACAAATTGCGCCTGATTAATTGCACAAGGCTGGTGGTTAAATCCCAGAAGCCTCATACCAAAAGGACGTTATAAGATGGTATTTGTTGTCACCCTGCCTGGCACTTTGCATTAAGGGGCTAAAACAAGGACTGGTCAGCTCGGAGTCAGTATACTGTGTCAAGTGGGGTATCAAAGTTAAACTGTGACATGGTATCTCAGTGGGATAGCACCACAAAACCTGCCTGTCACTATATAAGTGCAATAATCGTGAATGCGACATTTAACCCCAATTGACCTTCCCTCACACATCCTCTCGGTCTGGTCTGTATCAATGTACTAAATATTCCTTTCGAGACACGGTGAAAATAGGTGAGGCCAGTAGATCCCCATGTTGTAGGCTTTGTGTAACAAAACACATAGCAGCCTTTGTCCACACAAGTAAAACGTTTACTTTGTGATATTTGTGAACACAAAGGGCCTTGTCCTGGTGACAGTGCAACTTGTACTGCTGCAGTGATGTATATACAGAATTATCATACACCAAGTCACCAGCAGGGAATGCTTGAACATACTGAAGATGCCAATAAAGGCATATTTTCTTTCTCATTACTAATTACCCTAATTTTATCTGAATACAATCACAATTCTGGATTTACTGTGGATTCAAAACTTAGTACTCTTGGCAAGTAAATTGTGAAAATAATACCAGTTTGTTCAAGTTTGGGCTATTCTTAAGTTCTTATTTTCTTATTCTAAATCTAAATACACAAGTTCCTGCACAGTAGGTAAACTAGCTCTACATTGAAAACACAGTATGTTTATCTCCATTCTACCATGACTAAATAAAACGTGAACTCTTTGGTGTTAGCAAATATACTGAGTGAAGCGGCATGGGTTGAGTCCAGTGTTTTGAGCGGGTTATCGACCTGAATTACGGAATCACTGAACAAAATATGGCGCTGTATATACTCAAGCAGTTTGTTTACACCGTTATATTTCACTCGAACATATGACAGGCATTGAAAGCATATAAGCACGGCAACTTGCAGTGCCGTAGCCAGTCGGGGGGCAGGGTGGGCAGTTGCCCCCCCCTGGATTTTTTTTGAAAACAGTTTGATTTGAATCAATTTGGGGACAAGTGATACTTGTACATACATATGCCCCCCCCTGTTAAAAAACGTAAACTACGGCCTGGACTTGGTCAGCCAACATGAGGTGGGCATCCCTAAAGAAAACTAAGCAAGCTTTGCAAGGCTTTTGCTCTACATCTCCCGTCACCATTATGACGTCATATCGCTCATTGTGACGCAAAAGATATGACGTCACAGTCGTATATAGAAAAGCGCCAAAATTCCAAGCTCTCTGTTGTCTCCAAAACGTAAATACATTCCCTTTGTAGATTTTATATCGTGTTTTCTGCATGAAATGCATTGCCACACATCCTTTGAATAATGTAGTAACCGCATCTGTGCATTTTGTAACCTGTAATTGTAGATATAATTATTTAAATATGCCTACCGACAATGACTGAAAATAGTACTATTCTATGAATATTAGCTTCAGCAGTGGTGCGGTCGTCAAACCAGCTGTTTCAATCAGAGGGGGTTTATTGTGATTTAATAGCCTCTGATTGACCAATCAGAATCGAGTAAATTTCAAATTCATGGTAGAATTATCGATTATGGAGAAAAACAATTTTTTCGGTGTGATTTTAAAGCCCTTATGTTAAGTCCTGGTATTAAACATTGATATGCATGTGTATCGAGTCATCACATTATTAGCACTACATCCATGTATCACAAACATACCGTACATAATCAGTAAATGTTGTAGAAGCAAATTGTCAATCTACATATATATATATAATCTACATCCCATTACAGGTCACGTCAAAACGACCTGTCCGCGAACTTTGACCGACCAATGAAATTACTAACAGGAAGTCGACATTCGCCACTGAGAAAGCAGCTTTCTTAAGCAGTGCAGCACTAGTTACAAATTGGCGACTTCCATTTCGGACTATGCTTTAAAAATTATTTTGAATCAGTCATACAGTCCGTAACAGTAGTATGTGCCAAACTTTAGAGGTTGCATGATTAGAAAACATATTCCGCTAACAATGTAACATAACAATATGAATATTTCCTATTTTTTTATTACATTTTTGAATCGCTATCTATCGTGTAGTTGTCCGATTTTCGATCACGAACGTTGATACTACCTAATTTTGTTTATTCGACATACTTGCTGATCCGTCCTAATCATAAGCAACCAACAATATTGGATTAACGGGACTTGAGTGTAGTATCAGAAAAATCAGTTTCATCAATGAATACAGAGACCATTTATAAAGGTCCAACTATAACAAACGTATAATGAATCATTACCAAGGCTCCTAAAGATGGTACTTGTCTTTACAAAATAGAATTATTGCCAAAATGGCATGATTAGGTACATAGTAGCTAATGTGTCAACGACGATCAGTTCCACATGTAATGAGACCCAACCATAGCAAATATTGCGTGTGTAAATGTAGCGTGGACAAATTTTCCCTAGTAAACATTTTTCCATGGGAATAATTCCCCTAGAGAAAAACAGTAGGATGATAAGCTATATTATCCCAGTAGTTAATTAATAATGGATCGTAATGGTGCACACCTACTAACCTATTAAACATGTCATATGCAAAATGTTTCTTGTCCTTTTTTCAACTTTTAGGACACATCAATTTGGATTGATCGATGCTGATTTTCTTAACTCTATGCTGACTTTATGCATAATTACCGGTAGTGTACGTTCGGTTTAGGTTGGGTCAAGGGGCTTTGTCTAAACAAATGGGTTCTTTTCTAATCAATTTTGAATGGAGGGAGAAATTCCACTTCAAAAACATTCCAGAAGCTATCATAAAAATGTTAACGAGTATACTTACGAGTAGCTGTGACATACCGCTAGTCCTGTATTCGATCAAGCAATCAAATATCGTGCTTTGATTTGCAGAAGTAGACAATTGACAGGAGGTGGGGATTACAAGATTTACTGATACTGCAATATTATAGATAATATAGTGTCATACTATATAAAGGAACAAACCAATTTTACTTTAGGAGCAGATCTGAGATATTCTTGAACTTGTGCAGGAATAGGGTTATTGTATCGAAATTCACACTTGATAAATCCGATACCGTCTATAGATTCACAAGAGACAAAGAACCTTGGATATGCATCAGTGAATAAGATACAGATAAATCAAATCCAACTAATATTCTTGGAATTTTGGCTTGATTTTTATAAACAGCTGATGAAGTGTAATAAATTAAGTCTCCAAAGTCACGTTAAACTTTGTTGACACATATTAAGACATTTATTCTCAAAACTGATACACTGGACGCTATCATCGAGTTCTACATTATCTGCCAATGAAATTATACCACGTCCACACAATCATAGCACCAGAATAAATGGTAATGATAAGAGTTGAAGCATGACAAAGCCGCGTCGACGGATGATCGATACTGACTAAAACTCACGTTTCGTGTACTTGGACTTTTCTTTCACTTCAGTTTCGTCATCTACACATTCCCCGTCCGAATCCCTCTCACATACTTTATCAGGAATAACTGTCACGGTCGAGATCACCAACAAACACAAACAAAACAACCGCCTCACATGCATCTTCGCTCGCACGACAAATGCGTCTTCCGCGGACAAGAGAGCGTCTGTCAATACAAGGGAGCGGTTATTGCGTAAAATTGCCTAACACGGTCGATATACGACACGAAAACAAACACCTGTCTGAAGTATAATTTGTTCTAGGTCAATGAGAATGATATAAGTTATTTCTTTCTCTGATATTTTATGTTAACAAACAATGGAACAGATATTCGGCTACAATGATTATTAAAACGCGCGGACGTCAGAGAAGCAAATGCATAAGAATAACTACACATGTATAGATGGACTGAACAAATGCTTTTTATTCCCTGCCACGAAGTGGAAGGGGGATACAGGAATGGGTGATGTCCGCCCGTCCTACTGTTCATCGCGTTTCGTTTCCGGAGCAGAACTAAAAAAACATTAGAGATATCTTAACCAAACTTGGCACATAGATAGGTCAAGTGGTGAACTGGTGCCTTTTGATAGTTTGAGATTTAAAAAAAACAACATAATTCGAGTTTCCATGGCAACGACTTTGACTTTGACTGAAAATGACGGAAGTGTTCCTTTCCGGAGCAAATCTTGAAACCGTACAACATTTCTTGCCTTGCACACAAACGGACATGTCACAGTAGTGGGGAATATGAATATTTCATACTTGTTAGTTTTGTCTTTTGACTTTTTTTTGTCTCCCGTGAAGATGCTGAATCAGTCACTGCCATTGATGATGGACATGGGACAGGGACATGCTCTCTCTCTCTCTCTCTCTCTCTCTCTCTCTCTCTCTCTCTCTCACGCCTCCGTGGTCTAATGGGAGAGCGCTGTTCGATCCCCGACCGCATCATACCAAAAGACGTTAAAAGATGGTACTTGTTGTTACCCTGTCTGGCGCTCGGCTTTAAGGGTCGAAAACAAGGACTGGTCGGCTCGGAGTCAGTATACTGTGTCTGAGTGGGGTATTCATGTTAAACTGCGGCATGGTATCTCAGTGTGCTAGCACTATAAATCGGCATAAGTCCGGACTAGTACAAGCAGCCACAAACACATACACGTGCATGCACGACGCTATATAAGTGCAATAATCTTGGACGCGACGTTAAACCCTATTTCACCTCACCTCTCTCTCTCTCCCTCTCTCTCTCTCTCTCTACTTTGTGTCAGAAGTGACGTCACCGCAATATGTTCTCGTGATGACTTAGCAATAAAATACCCGTGCTAAATAAATAGCGAAACCATATAGGAATATCGACAACGGTTTTGCAGTATGAAGTACAGGGAACGTAGTGCATATCGGGATAAATTGTAGCCTTACTTTGGGACACATACGTACATCGCGACTTGCAGATACTTTTGTTGTTCAACGCCACACGAGCCTGCACCAGACAAACCAGTGATTGATATTATGGTCAACGTCCCGTTGGGGCACGATGACAATTAAATGACCAAGTCAGAGAGCCTGGCCACATAAACACCTCAGCACAAGTTGCATGGGGACCTATAGCAACCAGAAATAGCAGAGGACAAGATTTGCGGACAAGATGTTATTAGGCCAGACTTGTTCTAAAACTTGGTTTACGAATTCGCCTAGTCCAATAAATTGCAATGTGAAAAAATAAATAAATCAAAAGCTGAATTTTATTAATTCCTCCGACCAGAAATAACTACAATGCTGAAAAACTCCTTCACTGCCACTATCAATATAATTATTTTATTTAAAAAAACAACTATACTTAAAACCGGTTGAAAATGTATCCGAAATACTTCAAAAACACAAGGAATTATGACGAAAATATTTGAAATTGGAATTCATTTACCTATTATTATCGACAATAATATCCCCCCCCCCCCCCCCCCCCCCCCCCCCCCAACAAAAAAGACAATAAAACAACAACAACAACAACAAAACAACAAGAAACAGAAAATCTGTCCTTATGACTAATTATGACAAGGAATTTTACGTATTCTTGTTAGTGCGGCACAAATTTTGGAACACCATGATCCTTGAACATTCCGATGCTCACTCATAAAAAGAAAGATTTAAGGAATTTTGAAGACCAACTCGTCACAAGATAATACATTATCTCAATGAACATATATTACATCTCGTACAAGATATTGTTGATTAATATGAACTAAATATAGAAAACGAACATAGGACGTGGAGAACATGAGAATCATACATAGCAATGAATGCTCCCTTGTTCTATTTTGACAACGACAACTCGCTTGATGTTGTCGCAAGTTCAGGAGCAGCCTCGACGCTTCCTATCTTTACTGACAGGGTGGACACAACTAGCACCGCACTGGAAAGCTGCAGCCTTTTCATTTTATCACGTAATAGGGGAAAAAATAACATCCCACACCCAAGCGATGGAGTTGAAAGCAGGTGCGTACATTTTGAATCGTGTTCTTACTTGTTTATAGCAGATCGATGTTGGTGTTGCTTATTCAGTAGTTAATATAACGATTGTTTTTCATCGATTTCCAAATCAATTTGTATTGAGTTCATTCTTTAATAATATATAACAGCCTGGTAGGTGTGATATATGGTGATAATTTCAAGGATCTTTACCAATATAGGTCCTACCCCGTGTGCGGTGTCGGACTGATGACTTGATTAATGTATGTTACTGACATGTGATCTATATCACTGAAACAACAGAATGTCAGCTGTCTGAGTGTGATGGAAGCACGCGGAGCTTCCCGCCAACACCTGCCGCCACGGGAACCTTGTGAAATACATTGATTAATGATTATACGCTTCTTTCTCGGCGATTGGTGCTTGTGAATCGAGAAGTCCTTTATATAATAGGTCTATGGCGCGTTTATCACTTGAAATTAATTATGATGAGTGAGTGAGTATGGATTTACGCCACTTTTAGCAATATTTCAGCAATTTCGGCGGGGAACACCAGAAATGGGCTTCACACATTGCACCCAATCGGGAATCGAACTAGGGTCTTCGGCGTGACGAGCGAACGCTTTAACCACTAGGCTACCCGAACGCCCCTAATGATGATGATAATTAATGTTCTGCACTATGAGGGCTTCATGGAACATTTTGCTCCCTATGTATACTATCACTAGAGGTAAGGTGAAATATGGGGTTTAAAGTCGCGTTTAATACACGTATATAGCGTAGGCTAAATACACAGTATACTGACTCCGAGCCGAACAGACCTTGTTTTATCGACCCCTTTGATGCCGAGCGCCAGGCAGTAAAAAACCAATAAACGTCTGACCAGAAATGACTGAAAATGAGAACATTGTAAATTATAGTTTTTGTTTGTTTTGTTTGTTGTTTAACGCCGCACTCAGCATTAATATTCCAGCTATATGACGGCGGTCTGTAAGTAATCAAATCTGGACCAGACAATCCAGTGATTGACAATATGAGCATCGATCCAAGCAATTGGGATCGATGACATGCATCAACCAAGTCAGCGAGCCTGACCACCCGATCCCGTCCCAGCTAACACACGACGTTGTCACAACGTTGTGGAAAGGTTGTGGATTGGTAACATCGTGAAATAACGTTGTCACAACGTTATTATAACGTCAACGTGCAACGTTTTTTCACAACGTTATAACAACGTTGCACGTTCACGTTGTGAAAACGTTGTGCATCGGACATCGCACAACGTTTTGTAACTACGTTTCTGAAACGTCGGTGAAACGTTATAAAGTTTGCTTCTTGATAGTCATAAAGGAATAGAACTGCTTTATCAAAAATCAACATGAATTTGTCAGAATACCAAGGCAGTAATGTATTACCTTTCTGTTTATTCGGCATTTGAATTTTCATCTCTTAATACTAAAGTTTCCAGAACGTTATTGCGTATCTCTATTACAACGTTAGTATTACGTTACATTGTAACGTTATTCCACAACGTAACAACAACGTTGCAAATTAACGTTGTGATAACGTTATGCTTTGGACATTACAACACTTTTTTGTAAATGATGTTTAGGAAACCACTTGTAGATCTACCATCTCGTAGTTTTATTTTTTTTAAACATATTTATCTATGAACGCTGTTATCTGTCTACTAAATGTTGTCACAAGCAAAATTACAGATAAAAACACATTGGCGCGCATTTTTTGCGGCGTGAGAGCGACTGCTGAAAAGTTACGCCTGTTGCCTCGTGAAGTGACGTCAAAATGACGTCACATTGTCGCGGAAGATTTGTTTTCACCAGCCATCTTAGTTCAAGCACACTCTGGATATATTACAACCAAGTGATTGTGCAGCAACGGGAACTGGACAGATGATCTGTGAATTCGGATAAGGTAAGTTATTTTTCAAAAGCAGTCTCCGCTTGTTGATATGTTTCTGTACATGCAGATAGTCAAATGATTTAAATGTATCGTATTATTCAGAAGTGGCGGGGTTTAGAATGCAGTTTGCCGGTCACTTTCACTGAGCTGAGCGTCAGTGTTAATAGTAATAGGCCTATTTGATACACAGAACGTGATGTATATAGAGGTGAAGGAAGCCCATGACTTTTTTCCATATTATTATTTTATGGAAACCAAGGGTAATTACCAAGGGCAAGCAGTATATGTTTGACCAGAATTCAGTCTGGCGGCGTTTTGTGGTCGTCATATTATGTTCGGGTTTCGATCGTAAGCGTATAAGGTCTGTAAATAGGCCTAACGTATGCATCGCCTACTGACCACTGACAGTTATCGCCATTTCTTCCGTGTTATTTCTGAAATCTGAAAGTTTACATGTACTAATATTCTGACTTTGATTTTTGTGAAACAATGTGGCTCATTCAGGCCATGGGGAAAGGTTGAGTAGATTTCTCTTATACAGCGAAGAGAGGGAATCAAAACAATGGAAGTATTTTCAGATCGACTCTCTGGAGGCTGCTAGTTATAGCCCTAGTCTAAAGGGCTCAATGATGTTATGAAAAATTGTATTTTCGGGAAGAGACAGAAACATACTTGTTGTTCCCGAAAAGGCCCAATCAGCACTGACTGAAGTAGCCTAAATATGGATCATATGGTTGTTGGTGCTGTCTATAAAGTTTATTTGAGCAAGGCGCTTATCATGTGTATTTTTAATTTTTCCCAAAAAAAAAGAATCAATTCATCATGTTCCGATAACTAGATCTATGTCCGACTCCCTTCTAATGAAAACGAGCAATAGTAAAACGAGTCTCGTCGCGCGCAATAACGGGGTGTTTGCGGTATTGTTCTCGCTGGTGATGATAAGCGAGTCGATAGTCAAAAGTTAAATATCACCATACATTGTCAGTGATTTGGTCATCGTTTGTTGATTATTAAGGTGAAATAGGTGTCGATCTAGTCAATGTGCACCAATGAAAAATACAATGGAATTGATAGCAACCATATTCGTTCGGTTTTCGATCTCCGTATGTTGCCAGGTAGGCTACCATACTACAGAATTATATTTAACGATATTGAACTGTATTATGTTAATAAACGTAGTGTAAGTATATGATACTTGGTTCTCTGACACTTTTTGGCAATGAGAGAGAATAAAATGGTGATCGAAAACTGAACGAGTAAGTTCCAGTGCTCGCTACGAAATCGTACTGTAGCTAGATCTATATAAACAGCGCTGCGATGAAGATGTGAGTCGTAATTAGCTAAATGCCTGTCTAATATATCTGTTCCCGTTTGGAAAAGGTCCCCAACAAACCATGTTTGTACTAACATGATTGTGTGTCATTGTACTCTGACAGAGGTTGTGAGACGTGGCTCACTATAATAATCACTGGTTTGCCTGACCGGTTTGTCAGACCGGTGTATATGTAAAACCAAATTACATTAGGTGGGGTTTTTTTTATGATGGTACTCATAATTTTGTTACTTATATCTGTAGTCTGAGTTTATTTCCGATCGGACCTTATACATGAAGACTTTAGATTTACAGTTTTCCTAAATTTTAGGCAATTATACAATGTATGTTATTTTTTTGTTTAGACTACAGATCTAAATGTATGCTTATTGACTATAGTTTTAGTTTTGATTTTTTTAATATGTTGTCGTTGCAGCAAGGGGGAAAATGTTACACGACCATTCCAGGAGATAAAATCAAGAATGTTGAATCATTGAGGAACACACCAAATAAACCCTGGGCTGTGAATTATGTTAACGTAAGTACAATTGTTTACAGTTACATTCCATTGTCTATATCCATGTTAATTGGTGTGTATTTTTGCTTGAAATGAATGCTAAGAATGTAGATCTATTTATATAAATCCATGCTCGTACCACGTTTTGTATTCAACCTGATTCTTGATGTCTCTGAATGAAAGTTAAAATTTGTTTCCATCAGTCACTTGAATTATACATTATTGTTTGAATATTGATAAAACCTTATCTCCAAATGAATGTTTCTCGTCATATGAAATATTTCATATACCTGCTCGAGATTTATTAAGCTGTTTGTGTTTCAGGGAAGTGGAAGTGAACACCAAAGAAAGAAGATTCTGGCATTCAATAATTTCGAATAGTGTATAAATTTTCTATAATCTAAAAATAATAAAATGTCAACGCAAATGTGTCTTGGAGTTCTTTGTTGAATGGTGACTTCGCATGACTGAAAGTTGAAGTATACTATATGGACTTGATTAGAGACCGACCATTTAATATTCAAGGAGGTGGGGACCTGGAACTTTTCTATGGAGATTACATATGTTTTCGGTCACAGCTACAAAAGCAGATATATGGTTTTCTTTAACTCTATGAGCCTGAAGCACCTTGCAACTAGATCTATGTCATTTTTTTCACCAGTCTGAACCGTAATTATTTTTGTCAAGAATTTTCGGTGACAATATATTTTTTCGATAATATTCCAGGACCCGACCCTCCCCAGAAAATATCACATGGTCAACCCCTTACAATGTCTGCCATTCTTTTTTTTGTTTCTTTCAGTACAAGCCTAAAGGGTAATGGTGTCTGACTTTGTTATAGTCAAATCATGTTTCTACATGTAGTTAACAGCTCAGTGGTGTTTTTACATTTTGAACATTGTTAGCAAAACACGATCTAACTCACTGTTAACCGGGCTATTCGACGCCCTGGTTTTAAAATATTGGTAAAAGGTATTTCGAATCATACACATTCACGTGACTAAAGCATATTCTAAAACATTTCCGGAACAAGTTTTGGGGTTGTTTTTACAACATTTTAGTGTGGAATGGTCACAACCGTATTTCATCCTTGTAACACAAAGTTATTTCACGTCCTTGTGACAACGTCCATGGTAGTACACAGAATAACGTTGTAGGGACGCATTATTATAACATTGCCACAACGTAAAATACAACATAACCACAACGTAAAAATACAACGTTCCCACAACGTAAAATACAACGTCATTACAACGTTGTGACGACGTGAATATGACGTAACACAACGTTAGGCCATGACGTTGTGACAACATAAATGGGAGTCCACAGAATAACGTTATATTGACGTAACATCCGCAACGTTACCACAACGTAAACACAACGTTATCACAACGTTCCCACAACGTAAAATACAACGTCATCACAACTTTGTGACGACGTGAATATGACGTAACACAACGTTAGGCCATGACGTTGTGACAACATAAATGGGAGTCCACAGAATAACGTTATATGGACGTAACATCCGCAACGTTGCCACAACGTAAACACAACGTTGTCACGACGTTGTCACAACGTGAAATTGTTAGCTGGGGTTAGTCGCCTCTTACGACAAGCACAGTCGCCGTTTACAGCAAGCATGGGATGCTGAAGACCTATTCTATCCCGGATCTTCACGGGCCTGTAAATTTTAGATTTATTAAGTCATAAACCAAGAGATAAGTTTGTCCAACAAACACTGCTTACCTAAAGCTACAAAAACTGTTCAACATTTACCTAAAAACATGTTTCAATGCGGCGAGGCATACTGCCTATCAAGGAAGTTAGAAATTCATGAGTCATACTGTCCAAATATCTCACCATCTCTGCTTTCAAATCGCATGTATTTTGGAGATTTTTTCGATAGATATTGTTCTTCATAATTCCCAAAATATTTTCAATTGGGTTCAGGTCCGGACTGTAGCTGGGCCATTCATGGAGTGTAACATTTTCCTCGTCAGCCATTCCTGAGAATGCTTCGCTCTGTTTTGGACCATTGTCTTGCTGGAATACCCTCCCATCACCAGACACAAGTTGTGCTGTTGGAAGGAGATGTCCCGGTAGAAGATCAGTGTACACTGCACTAATCATGTTACCTTCAAATACACATAATAGTGTGGCACCAAACATAGACACACCCCACTCCCCACATGGAATTTATGGAGAGTGTAACGAAGGTGTCACGCGCTGGGAAGAAGCTTGGTAATACCAAGGGAGACAACTATGGTCATACTTTACAAATATGACATGCGAGTTGTCTCCCCTGAGTCAAGTCAGAATAAGATTTTCATACACCTTTGATACATGGTAAATATTGATGGCCAAAATGGTATGAGAAATTTTCAATAATTTCTGGTCAAACTATGTAAACTTTTAACGTCGTTTGGTACGGCGCAGAGGATTGAACTACAGACCTTCGCGCTCCGGGCAGACGCTCTATTCCACTATATCATGGAAGTGGTCCTGTCAATAGAAGATTGTGCTTAAAGGTCTAACCTGTTGGTTTTCAAGGAAAGAGTATTTTTGTCCCCAGTGTCGCTTTCGGAGCTGACTGTTTACAACAGGATCGGGTGGTCAGTCAGACACGGTGCCTGTGTGGTCGTGCGCTGACAGCGTGAATCGTTCCTCATGCATTCAGTCACTGGTTTGTCTGGCCCAGATCTGATTCTTGCTGAATGCGGCGTTAAACAACATTCACTCATCACTGTTCTTTGGGCAGCCTCGATTATTCAGTGTCTTATCTATTATCAAATCTATTTTGATAAATACATTCGAACCATTCGCTACCAAAGCTTCGTTTTGAGCCTCATACGAATAGCCTGTTTTTGCCGTCCAATCAAATTACTCCCAAGAGCGAGAGAGAATCTTTGCTAAGATAGACAGGATCCATCAAGGAGGTGGCGTCACTTCCGAACAAAAAGCTATGCTGGCGAATGTTTCCAGAGTATTTATCATAATGGAATAGAAATATAGTTTTAAATGAATTATTATTTAGATAGCCGATGCGACTCCTACCTGCAAGGCGAGGTGAGCGCGTGTCTGACGCAGGCGTTGACAGAGGTCGCGATGACCCGACCAGCAGACCCCATCCACCATCTGGCTCACTGCTTGCTCACATACAGGGTAAACCAGTCAATTCCATATTAAAGAAATAAATATATCCTATGTCTTTCCTTTTGAACAGAGCTAAAATTGACGCAACGACTCTGCGAAATTTATACAAAAAATGAAGTCAATGTCTTGCCTGTCGGCTTTACTCAGTTTTTTTGGGGTACATATACTGCTAAAAAATTAGGGATCATGGATATTTGGGAGAATATTTTTTTATGAAATTGTGTGCTCAGTCGTTACTACAAAAATATCCTTAAACGTTTGTGTTCCGTGTACGTGTTACAGTCGGTTAAGAAATGAATTTGCAAGCACATGATCCCTTCCATGTTTGGACCCGTGAAGACCCGGGGTAGAATAGGTCTTCAGCAACCCATGCTTGCCGTAAATGGCGACTATGCTTGTCGTTAAAGGCGACTAACGGGATCGGGTGGTCAGGCTCGCTGACTTGGTTGATGCATGTCACCGATCCCAATTGCGTGGATCGGTGCTCGTGATATCAATCACTGGATTGTCTGGTCCTATTTACAGACCGCCATCATATAGCTGGAATAGTGCTGAGTGCGGCGTTTAACAACAAAACAACCAGCAACCCTTGCATGTTTGAAATGTTTAAAATATGCAAATTTATTGAGTTTCAAAGGTAACATGTCTGAGATTGTGTATTATTATATGTTTTATTTTTTGAAAGTTTTAAATGAAATATATATTAAAAAATTAAACAATGTAGAAGTATTCTTTGAGTGCTGACTAAGCGCCAGAATTAACTGAGAGGTGTAGCTTCGTTGGATCCTCAGTTAATATCCTCAGTCTGGTACTTTTATTCCTTATAGATAAACAATGTTTCAGTTTAATCATAATCAACGATATGTGATTAAAAAAAATAAGGAACATTTGTTTCAGGATACTGAAAAAAATATTCATAAAACACAGAAAATAACTGCACAAGGTTTCACCCCGATTTTAGCAATATTCCAGGTATATCACTGCAGAGGACTGAAGTTCGTAAATCTTTGACTGATCACGACCCAGGTTCGATTCTTAGCATGGGTACCAAGACGCCATTTCTGGTTCCCCTGCTGTGATAGTGTTTGAATATCACTGAAAGCGGCGTAAGAGCATACACACCGTCACGCTCATTTTGAACACTAAACGAAACATGTGGCAGATTAAAAGAAGCGCTCATAAAATATAGACAATAAGTCTGTTTCCCTTCAAAAATACACAGAGGATCAATGGTGATAACTTCTGAATCAACAGTTATATCTGAGCATTCATCCAACACTTAGGTGTTGTGCATTTCTCACACTCATGGTCTGAACACCTACGAGGGGCGTTCAATGAGTTTTGCATCTTCAATATAAGACCAAGTCGCAGAACATCCTCTGCACTTTTATTTTTCAATATAATCTCCATTCACCTGAATACACTTATTCCATTTGTCCTTCAAGCTTTGAATACCACTTTTATAGACATCCGCCGATTGGCCCCCTAACCACGCCTCTGTGGCAGCCTTTGTGTCCTCGTCATCCTGGAAGCGTCTTCCACGTAGGGCAGATTTTTCGGTACGTACTGAAGCATCTCCGTGCGTACTGAGGTGTCTCCGTACGTATTGAAGTTTCACCGTACGTACTGAAATGTCTTCTTACGTACTGAAGCGTATCGTACGTACTGAAGCGTCTATGTACGCTCTGAAGTGTCTCCGTACGTACTGAAGTGTCTCCGTCCGTACTGAAGTGTCTCCGTACGTACCGAAGGGTCTCTGTACGTTCTGAAGTGTCTCCGTACGTACTGATATGTCTCCGTACGTACCGAAGCGTCTCTGTACGTTCTGAAGTGTCTCCGTACGTACTGAAATGTCTCCGTACGAACTGAAGCGTCTCTATACGTTCTGAAGTGTCTCCGTACGTACCGAAGGGTCTCTGTACGTTGTGAAGTGTCTCCGTACATACTGATATGTCTCCGTACGTACTGAAGCGTCTCTGTACGTTCTGAAGTGTCTCCGTACGTACTGAAATGTCTCCGTACGAACTGAAGCGTCTCTATACGTTCTGAAGTGTCTCCGTACGTACCGAAGGGTCTCTGTACGTTGTGAAGTGTCTCCGTACGTACTGATATGTCTCCGTACGTACTGAAGCGTCTCTGTACGTTCTGAAGTGTCGCTGTACGTACTGAAGAGTCTCCGTACGTACTGAAGGGTCTCCGTACGTACTGAAGGGTCTCCGTACGCACTGAAGGGTCTCCGTAGTATTAAAGTGTGTCATCGTACTTACTGTAATGTCTCCGGCTTCAACAGTGTATAGTCTGTTTATCAATGTCTCTTGTAGACGCTTCACCCGTTAAAGACGGAGCTCAGCCCCCGTGAGCACTTCCGGTCGTCACTGCCTGGATCAACAGAGTCGGAGGAGACGGATGCCGATGACCCCCCGGGGAACGACATCTTTGTTCATATGTCGTACAGAAAGGCTCTCTGCAGCATAGGAGATATATTTGACGATGATGACATCACGTGACCATGTATTATTGTGTCCTAGTGTCAACCTGACCAATACCAGGCCCCTGGAGAACGGAGCACCACACGCACTCGAGGTAACACGTTTTTAATGCAGTATCGGATGTCCAGGGGACATAATCAGACTCCATGCACATTACGTTGTGATGAATTTCGTCCCTTACCCGTACCAGGATCCGCTTGTCGTGGCTTTGTCCCAATTACTTATGTGATACTTTTATTGTCACCACACCCGCGATCGTTGTCTTCGCTTATGTGGTAATAGTCGTCTAAGGCGCCGCAATTAGCTATGCAGAGTTGCGTCCCTTTGGCGCGACAGAAACCTACGGTCGTGAGTTCGAATCCCGGCTCGCCACGATTATGTTTCTAGGTTTGTCAGCACCATACCTGTGCTCGTGGGTTTCACCGAAGTGGTAAACGTCTGATACCTGCATCACTTCGGGCTTTCCTCCCACATTAAGCTGACGAGCCGTGATATAACGCGAATACTGTTCGAAGCGGGGTTATATCACACACGCTCCAAAAACACAGCTTGTAATATATTTAAACCGTTATGATGACATCACGCTGTTGTAGTTGATTCTGAGCCTGAAATTCCCTGGTGTTTCTGAATATGTTTTTTGTGCAAGTAAAACTGATGTGCAACCTGAGGTCATCATGTAAAATTCATAACATTCGGAGCTCGTCGATTCTACTTCCGGAATATTCGAGTGTTTTCTGCATAACGTAAATGCAGTAGATTAAAATTGAATTCCCTACGTCGCTGGTCACGGTATAAGGCAATCTCATTAAAATCAGATCTTAGTTCTCGCTATCGCTAAACAAAGATCTGAGGACATCCCATTAGGGATGTCAGAACGACCTTTCATCCAACCAATCAGAGCGTCGCTTACCAGATCATGAAAGTGACAGTCGGAATGTGTTTTCTAATCATGCAACCAGGATATATTTACCGCGGGGTATTCCGAACGACAGTTACAGGTTTTATTATTATATCCATACAATCTATGCCATCTATAAGCCATTCCAGAATGACCCGTGAAGAATCCGGGGTAGAATAGGTCTTCAGCAACCCATATTTGCCGTAAAAGGCGACTATGCTCGTCGTAAAACGGGATCGGGTGGTCAGGCTCACTGACTTGGTTGATACATGTCATTGATCCCAATTGCGTGGATCGATGTTCATGATATTAATCACTGGATTGTCTGGTCCAGACTCGATTATTTACAGACCGCCGTCATATAGCTGGAATATTGCTGAGTGCGGCGTTAAACAACAAACCAACCAACCAACCAACCGTTCCAGAATGTCCTTCTTATCAGTTTTAAAATTTTAATCGAGAACACGTCAAAATATGTTTCGAAGGTAGTCGCCAGTTTGAAACTAGTGTCGTAAAGCTCAAGAAAGCTGCCTTCTGATTGGCCAATGTCGATTTCTTGTCAGTCATTTCATTGGTCGTTCTGACTTGACCCGTAATGGGATGTCCTCAGATCTTTGTTTAGCGGTAGCGAAAACTAAGATATGATTTTAATGAAATTGGGTATAAGGAATCGACCCACTAAGATATCAAAATGTGTGATATCACAGTGTTATAAAATACATTCAGTTGTTCCTGAACCATCCTGAAAAAAATATAATCAAATATAATCATTTGCCGGGCAGTCTATAACAACAAGGTTGATCTTTGGCCAGTTGACGCAGCGCAAGAATTCCACGTGCACCGCGGTACACACCACCGCATTCCCCTGTTCAGTGGAAATGAATTCTTCCATTGCACGTGTTACTTACTTCTTAAACGTAAACCACAACTCACGACGTTTACTTCATGCGGCTTCAGAAGAAAAACAATTCTGACACGCCGATTATATATTCCTACAAGACCATGTCATTTTGAATTGTTTCAAATGGCGGTATGGCTGAGAAATTATCAAATCCAGTTCTATAAATGTTTGCATTAAACACTCACCACTGTTCGCTTTGTATCCACAGCAACAAGCGCACAGTCCCTGAACAAAGTGGACGGAGTGACAAGGTGAAATCTACATGAAGCGGCTGTAAAATATACACGTATATTCTGTAATGATGCGAGGCGGTTGTGATTTTGAATGACTGATTTACGTCCAATGTAAGTTTTTTACGGTTTTGTGTATAAAACGTCCCTATAGGTCTACACACCCGTTATTATTAATTCCTGACGACAGCGAGTGAGTGAGTGAGTAAGGATGGTTTGACGCGGCTTTCAGCAATATTCCAGCATATCACGGGGTTATTATACACTGACAGTAAATCTTCGACAAACTCAATGAGACCTAGGGATATAGTTCTATGGATATACAACTTCTTTATGACAATGACTGTGGTGTTTCGGTGTAGATACTAACACGGTTATCAAGCAAGTTATCAAGTGACCGTTTTAGTTTCAACTCCGAAACGTCGAAGTCATTGTAATAAAGAGTAAGTGAGTGAGTATGGTTTAACGCCGCTTTTAGCAATATTCCAGCAATATATCACGGCGGGGGACACCAGAAATGGGCTTCAGATATTGTGCCCATGTCGGGAATCGAACCCGGGTCTTCGGCGTGACGAGCGAACGCTTTAACCACTAGGCTACCCGACCGCCCATTGTTATAAAGAAGTTATATCCATAGAACTATATTCCCTTTTTCTTCTAAGTTACCACGAGACCTGTCTTTACTTATGCTTTTCATTACATTACTCATGTTTGTTTGTTTGTTGTTCAACGCCGCACTCAGCTATATTCCAGCTATATGACGGCGGTCTGTAAATAATCGAGTCTGGACCAGACAATCCAGTGATTGACATCATGAGCATCGATCAACGCAATTGGGATCGATGGCATCAACCAAGTCAGCGAGCCTGACCACCCGATGCCGTTAGTCGCCTCTTACGACAAGCATAGTCGCATTTTACGGCAAGCATAGGTTGCTGAAGACCTAGGATCTTCAGGGGTCATATATTACTCATATAACGCTCAAAACCATAGTGTGTGTGTGCGCGTGCGTGCGTGCGTGCGTGCGTGCGTGCGTGCGTGCGTGTGAGTGCGTGCGTGTGTGTGTGTGTGTGTGTGTGTGTTATCTCATTGATCGGATTTCTGATTCATTCGCATTCATTTGATCAAACAGCACCGGTAGAGAAGAGAGAACTTTTGACGTCGCATTTAGTATCATTCTTCATGTCAGTAAATTAGAAGAAGTTGTTCCATGTCGCCCTTGCAGATGATATTCTTCAGCCTCCTGTACGTCTCCGCTGGTACGAGATTCGCGTTCTATGTCCGTTTTTCCACGTCCATCTAATTGAATTGTAAGCTTCACAGACAATAAACATTCAACTCACATACTTCTTTTTTCCGTTGCGAGTGTAGGGAATTGTCATTTTGACCGTACGTAGATACACTGCTGTCTGTAAATATAGGATTCGGTTGCCGGCCAAAAGAAAGTATTATCTTGAATTAAGAATTTACCAGAACATTACAAACGTTATCAAAACGTTACTGCGAAACAATGCGAAACACAACTATGATACCCGTATCAAATACATCACCATCAAACAACATTTTCTTGTTTTTTTTAATTTTTAGCCACCATCATACATTGGTGTACAGTAAACTACGTTTGTTACGAACACGCTTATAACGAACTGTCGGATATAACGAACTTACTTTTTTGGTCCCGACTATTTGCTGTAGTTGTGCTGTATATATGCTTACAACGAACTACGGTTATAACGAACTAAAATTAGTAGTCCCTTTGAGTTCGTTATAACCGTAGTTTACTTTATATACTTTATTTTGCCCGACAGTTAGTCTGTCGTACAGACGCAATACGTCCTCAGTCCACGAGTATTATCCTTTTGTTGTTAGTTAATCTACTCATGTTAACCCATCTAATGTATGATAATTGTTGTTACTTTTAATCCCTAATCTACCGTATGTAATTCTGTATTATGTTCATTATTCAGTCTGGCTTGACAAAGGTATAAGGTTTGTTCGTTTTGTTCGTTTGGTTGTTGTTTAACGCTGCACTCAGCACTATTCCAGCTTTATGACGGCGGTCTGTAAATAATTGAGTCTGGACCAGACATCCCAGTGATTGACATCATGAGCATCGATCTACGCAATTGGGATAAGATGACATGTATCAACCAAGTCAGCGAGCCTGACCACCCGATCCCGTTAGTGGCCTCTAACAACAAGCATTGTCGCCTTTTACAGAACAGTATGAGGATCTACACTGAAACGCCGCTGTTACAGTATAATAAAGAAGTTGTTATCCACAAACCTTTGTCTATTTTGAGACCCAATACGTAATATATGGTATATAATAGTCGGCAAGTCTAAATTACTGCAGTTCTAAAAAAGAAGGGAATCTATGGGCTCCTTTATTATATTTTCATGGATATTTTGTTATTTCTGTAAACTACAGTAAACTGTTTGTAACGAACACACTTATAACGGACTGCTTTTTGGTCCGGTCCAATTGCTGTATATATACGGTGTACATGCTTATAACGAACTTCGGTTATAACAAACTAAAATTAGTGGTCCCTTTGAGTTCGTTATAACCGTAGTTTACTGTATTTTCATTTTTAGAGAATAGATGTTATTTGACCGTTGTTACTGCCCGACTGACCCGTGAAGATCCGGGGTAGAATAGATCTTCAGCAACCCATGCTTGTCGTAAAAGGCGACTAACAGGATCGGGTGGTCAGGCTCGCTGACTTGGTTGATGCATGTCATCGATCCCAATTGCGTGGATCGATGCTCATGATATTAATCACTGGATTGTCTGGTCCAGACCAACCACTGTCCGACTGACTAATCACCGAGCTTCTGACGTCATACATTAATGCGCACATACCCAAAAAATTGGCACAGCTTACGTCCTGAGAAAAGAGAATGGATTCCCCGACGGAATGACCTATGATAAAAAGGTAATTTGGTTTGAGTGTTTGGGCTCGCTAAAAACAATGGTTTTTCCCAATGCAGGATGTTTGTAATCTTATAAAAAAACCAACTCGCGTGATAACCACTATGTAAACATCCGTCGTTGCAAGGGGGATTTAATGAACATGTCACTTAGTAGCTTCCTTGTTTTAAACGAAAAAACGCCGTGGTTTAATATTTGTTTTGTTGACAACTTTTTTCCCAAAAATCAAACAGCACGGATGAAAATTAGTTGAGTAATAAGCATTGAAAAAGAATATAATCTGTAATGGTCGCAGGCACTGTTCCTGGTGTCACTCCTTCATAGTGATAATGATCATAATAATAAACCAGGTCAATCATCTCCCATGGTACTGTTCCGACAATATCAAAAGCATGTGTTTATGAATCACTGTCAAATTTGTACCAAACTGTGCAGTGTGTACAGTGGACCCCCGTTGGTTCAGAACCCGTTAATCTCGACAGCCCGAATACCAGATAACTGTGTACATATATTCAAAAGACATTATCCAGTAACAGTTGTTAATTTAACCGGACAATTTAGCTGTTTGGATTAACGGCGTTTCATTTATTCACGCTGATTCACAGTGCTCGATGCCAGGGTACATGTGACACGACCCGCGAAGATCCGGGGTAGAGTAGGTCTTCAGCAACCCATGCTTGCCGTAAAAGGCAACTATGCTTGCCGTAAAAGGCGACTATGCTTGTCGTAAAAAACGACTAACGGTATCAACAAGCAATATTCCAGTGATTGACATCATGAGCATCGATCCACGCAATTGGGATCGATGACATGCATCAACCAAGTCAGCGAGCCAGACCACCCGATCCTGTTAGTCGCCTCTTACGACAAGCATAGTCGATTTGTGAATAGACTGGAGAGACATTTGATAACAGAGGTCGCATGCACATCCGCTGATGGTGTTACGGTTGATGCCAACGTCACTTGTAGCTCATATGATGATGTTGATGACGGTTGATGTCGATTTCGCATGCATCGTCTCCAATCACGTCGTCTACGATACGCGCGTCGCAGGCAACGCTTCAAAATGCTTGATCTGAGTGGAGTGAGTGAGAATGGTTTTACGCCGCCTTTAGTAATATTCCAGCAATATCACGGCGGGGGACACTTCACTTCACACATTGTACCCATGTCGGGAATCGAACCCGGGTCTTCGGCGTGTCGAGCGAACGCTTTAACCACAAGGCTACCCGACCGCCCCTTGATTTGAGTGGAGAGTGTGAACTAAACTGCCGGACAACAGAAAGTGTACACTCATTTTTGATGGCGGCTAAAGCATGAAACAAATAAGAAATGGTTATTCGTTGGTGATGTATTTTGGTACGGTATGCAGTGTTTCGGCGACTGTTTTCGGCCTAACGTTTAGAAAACGTTTGTAATTTGTGGGTTAAATCCAATTTTCAAGTGTATGCTTTCTTTTGCCCGGCAGTTATCATCTGTGTTACGATTAGATGTAAGTTTTGAAGAACAATTAAAACACTTTAAAAATTGACTGTCTGCTTCTTCGATCAAATCCTGAATTTAAATATTCAGATTTTCTCTGTGATGGAGTAGGTTGGCTTTAGGCAAATGTCGCTCTGTCTGCTTCTGACGGGGATGACACAATCTCCGCACTGGCTGACCCCGCCGAGAGATGACAGAAATCTCATCTCAAACACGAGGTAACTGCCGCGACTTGAGAGCACGCGCAACACTGCGTGGCCCGTGGAGAGGTGAGGTTAGGTGAGGAGGACACTCCCGCAGTGTTTACCTACATCACACAAATATCAATAGGTTCAACGTTGGTATTCTGTAGGAAGCAAGTTAGTGTGTCATCGAGTAAGAAAGTATGATTTTACGCCGCTTTCAGTAAAAAGAATATTCCAGCAATATAACAGCGAGGGACAGCAGAAATAGGCTTTAAATTCTGTAGCCTTGGGGGTTATCGAACCCAGGCCTTATGCGTGAACACTTTATCCTCTGGGCTACTCCACCGCCGAATTCAGTATGATATGCATGCTGAGGGTAGGACCTCGTTATTGAAACAGTAGTATTAAGATAATACATTGTTGTTTTATTGTTGTTTGACGTCGCAC